CCCCTTCAACGCCTTTAAAAAAAAGCATCAATTGACAAATCTAGTGATTTTTTTAGTGTTCTTGAAGACTTTTGGAAACTTTGGCAACTGCACTTTCCTCAGCGAGCAGCGAGTGGTGCTGTGACCCTCTCCCCCTTTTCAAAGCTTTTTGAATTTTGAGTTTTCTTAATTAGGAGTAAAGTTTATTTGTTTGAACATTAAATATCTTGTTTTTGTAGTGAATTCAATTGAACATAGGTTAAAAAGAATTTGCAAATCATCGCATTTTGTTTTATTTATATGACAAAGTGATTCAATGCAATCTTAAAATTAGTCATGGAGTGCCTCAGGGTTCGGTACTTGGACCAGTCCCATTTACTTTATATATACTTCCATTAGGTAAAATTATTAAACAGCATGGGATAAATTTCCATTATTGCGCTGATGAATCCAATCAGTTACTTAAACTACAAGCATGTCACAAAGACAGAAATACTCAGCTGAATTTTCTGCTTCTAAACTCAGATAAGACAGAAGTTGCCGTTTTTGGACCTGGGCATCTTAGGAACAAAATTTGTAGCCTTTCACTTCCTCTGGATGGCATTAATCTGGCCTCAAGTTCTACTGTAAAGAACCTTGGTGTTATTTTTGTTCAGGATATGTCGTTTAACCCCCACATTAAAAATGTTACCAGGAGCGCCTTCTTCCACCTGCGCAATATCACTAAAACTAGGAACATCCTGTCCAAAAATGATGCAGAAAAACTGATCCATGCATTTATCACATCTAGGCTGGATTACTGAAATTCTTTGTAATCTGGAAATCCAAAAAACTCTTTAAGAAGTCTTCAGTTAATCCAAAATGCTGCTGCTAGAGTTTTAATGAGTTGGAAGGAGAGATCATATTCTCCAGTTTTAGCTTCTCTCCACTGGCTCCCTGTCAAATTCAGAATAAAATTTAAAATATTACTCCTAACATACAAAGCTCTTAACAACCAAGCTCCATCATATTAAACATCTTATTGTTCCACACTTTCCTAACAGAGCACTTCGCTCTCAGACTGCAGGTTTACTTGTGGCTCCTCAAGTTTCTAAAAGTAGAATGGGAGGCAGAGCTTTCAGTTATCAAGCTCCTCTCTTGTGGAACCAACTTCCAGTTTCTGTCTGTGAGGCTGACACTCTGTCTGCTTTTAAGATTAGACTGAAGACTTTCCTTTTTGATAAATCCTATAGTTAGACTTAGGTTTCCTGAGTTATTCCTTAGTTTTGCTGCTTGTTTCTGTGTCTCTTTCCTATCCTCCCAAACCCAGTTGGTCGAGGCAGGTGGCCGCCTGTCCTGAGCCTGGTTCTGTTTCTGCTGGAGGTTTCTTCCTGTGAAAAGGAAGTTTTTCCACTGCTGCCAATGTGCTGCTCAGGATGGGAGACTGTGATGACGTGGAGATTCAACACAATCTGCTGGCTTCTTCAGACTGATTGTTTTTTGTTTTTTTGTGTGTGTACAGTGCCCTAAATGATGTTTGTTATGCATGGCGCTACAAAAATAAACTGAATTTTACACAACTTCCCAAATTCATTGATATTGGGGTTTCCTCCCACAGACAAAAATATGAGGCAGACTAACTGGTAAGGCCAAATTGTCTCTAGATATGGGTGAGAGGGTGAATGTTTGTTTGAATCTGGCCCTGTAATGGATCCAGGATGTACCCCACCCCTCACTCAGTGATTATTGGACATGGCCACCAGTGATCCTTGTGATACAGAAAGGAAGAAGAGGGCAAAATAAATTGGATAGGTGGATATTTGGATTGAAGTGACTGAAATTGGATTTAAATCTGACTTTAGGAGACCTATTTTGTTGTACAGAGCCTGAGAATACGTTTGTGAATATGAACTGAGTTGTATAAAACCTTCTAGGATAATCTTGTAATATGTTAACATAAAATCTGATAACATTATTGTATAAAAACGGTAATGACATGTCTAGAAGACTGCTTCTAGTTATTTAATTAAAATATGGATTTCAATTAAGGTTCCATAAAATCAAATGTCTTGGAGTAAAACCAATTATTTCTGCTGTACTGGGATCAGTTTAAACAAACTATGACTTTTGAATCAACATGTAGTCTTCATGCAACAAAACTAAAGGAAGAGATGGGGGGAAATGTTGTTCTTTTTCATCTGTGGATGAAAAAGAACAACATTTTTTCTTTCCTGGAGCTGTAAAAGCCAAAAGAAATGATGCAATTTGCTGTGAATTATGTAATAAAACCATGAGCTCAAGTGAACGAAGCTGGAGATGAGAAATCTTTCATTTAAGACTGAATTTGTTTCTTCTCTGTCTGGTGACATCTGATCTGCTGCCTCCTGCAGAGGCAGCTGTCTGCACTCCTCAGTTACCGTCTACAAGAGGATCGGACTTTTCACCACATCATAACTCGTGTCAAGACACACGTAAATATATTCAGTCTCTCAGGACAGAACTTTAAGCACACAAAGTAATATCTGTTTGATCCCTAACCTGAGGGTAACTTTTGTAATGTTTCTAAATAATTCTATAAGGGGGAAAAACCAGTTTCAGAAAGAAAAAAATTGTATAGGTCTTCTGGACGGGTTCTTCTCTAATGAAACGTTTCGTCTCTCCTCCAAGAGACTTCTTCAGTCTGAGAGTTTC